GCAGAAGTGAACACCAGAGAGAGGGCAAGCAGGCAGGCCTGGGTGGGCAGCGGGGGCCGGGTGGGCCTGGGTGGTCCTCCAGCGAAAAGGCTGATCTGGGGTGCCGCACAGCAGATGGCAGCAGAGTGGGCAGGAGCTGAGGGCAGCTGCACGGGCATCGGATCCCCGCTTAGACCCAAGCAGGGCCACCGGAAGGCTGGGCGAAGTGAAGGTCGAAACCCTGTCCGACTCATGGGTTCATGGGCTGTCAGACCTTGGCCTGGGATGTGAGTTTCCCAAGAGAACGCCTGAGGCAGGAGAATGAGGACACCTGCCAGGGAGCCCTCTGGGCTCCGAATGTTCGGAAGGGTCCATGGACCCCCAGATTGTTTCAAGGCCTTAGGTTTCCCTTTTCAAATACATGGGACCTTTGCGTGGCAATCCAGGACAAACTCAATCGATGACAAGTTTTCCAGGGCTGAGGACCACCGCGCTCCAGCTCCTATCCCGAGCTACGAGTGCCCGTGTTGGAGAAGCCCGGGTCACTGAGGGCTTCAGGGACAACACGGTGGACTCAGCAGACAGGGCTGATAGAGCAGGGACCAGAAACCTAGACCAGGGCCTGCTGGGAGGAGGCCAGGCAGGCTGAGTCACAAACAGGTGGTAAAAGCTCGCCCAGAGAGGCTTTAGGGAGGGAAAGTACCCTGCAATTGGATTTAATAAACCAAGCCTGGTGGGTTTCATCCTGGGGCTTTAAACCCCCTTACCTAAACCAACTGAAGTGAGTTCAATGTCCACCTGCTGAGTCCATGGCTGTTCAGATACCACGTACACCAGCCAGAATTTACTTAGTGATTATATATAACTTTTTATCCATTCCATACATATTTCGTTGAATAAATAAAAACTTTATTTGTTGTTTTATCTATAAACAATATCCTTAGTTTGACCATTTAAAATTACAACTTCACGTAACCAAAACCTTAAAGGATTTCATTCACCACATACTAATTTATACCTATAAATATAAAAACCCAACCTATTGAAACTGGTTTTGCAGTAGCCATATTTGAAACATCATGGATTTCCATGCAGGTTGACTCTTCAAATGATGAGATCTAATACCCTCAGATATTAAAGGGAAAATTATTTTCCACCCCAGGTTAAAATCCATGTAAGAAATTCCTGTGTTTGTCTATCTTAAACATTCTATTGGGTGTTTTCATGTTTCAAAGGAACAGTGCGCCTCAAGGACTTCTATAAATGGTAAAGCTAAGCTTTTACAGCTATAAGAAAATAACATTTGCATTTCTCTGAGAGGATAGTTTGCTTTGAGGGCTCTCAAGGGCACTGTGTGTATCGTGTGTGTGTGTGTGTGTGCGCGCACACACGTGCGTGTGAATGTGTGTTCCCTGAAGCCATTGAGACCAAAATGGGTGAAAACTAACAAGAGAACGTTGAGGGGTTGGTGCTTTGCTGAGCCCCGCTCCCTGCTTCTTTCAGACAAGCTTTGACAACTGCAGTTCGGAGGTCCCGTCATCTCATCTCCAAGTTCCACTCCATGGAAGAAGCTGGGTCTCATTCTCTCTAGGTCAAGCAAGGTAGGGGACCTGGGACCAGCAGATGGCATAGTGGTTACATCGCTGGATTCCCACGTAGTCGACTGCAGTTTGGATCCTGGACTCGGTGGCTTAAAACTCATGCTGGGCACATGTATATGCGTACCCAAAACCCCGAAAGGAGAACGGAGGAGAAGGGTTTGCAATGTGGCCATCTCCCCGGGGGGTGATCTCTCTCTCTCTCTCTCTATGTGTGTGTCTCTCTGGCAAGCACACATGCTCTACAGCAAAAATCTCTCTCAAGAGGAAAAAAAAAGGTAGAAGACTCACCCAAGCAGCTTGCAGGCCCACAGCAAATCGGCCCAGCCACTAGTCTGGCTCTACCTGTGCCTCAGTTCTAGGACGTGGGTCCCCTTCTTGTTTTTTGCTTGGAACCCTCATGTTCCTATTGTCCCTTACCCTTCCAGGACTGGACTCATGTTCACAAGCCCCCAGCCCTCATACTCCCACACCTCTGTTCTTAGAGCCTGTCTCTCTCCTCCTCCTCCACCCTCTCCCAGGCTGGGCCGATCTGTCACTCACAGACGCTGCCCCAGTATCCAGCCTGATCTAGCGCAACTCCTACCACGTCCCCACCCTCCCTGCCTGCGTCCTGGGGTTATCTTTGGGTCAGTCTCTGCTTGACTCCTCCCCTACTGGTGTGGATCATAAAAACCTCTACTAGTGTGGATTTTCTTTTATTGTCTCCAAATGGAAATTAGATTTTAAGAGTGCTCATCCCTGGGCAGTGCCTAGAAGTTTAAACCCTGATGTCTAAAATGACTTGAACGTTTATTCGTTCCCTAAAAGCTACAGGTTCACGTGCAGAATTCTAGATCTTCTTAACAGGCGTACCTACCCCCTGCCATGCCGTTATCGAGCATCTCTGTTTCTCGGGTGCTGGGTACATGAGATTCCACCACGAGTCGCCTGCATACCTGCTGCTATAAAGAGAGGGTCCTTCCCTTGTACTCATTCAGGTATTCGGAGCTAGTTCTGAAATGGGCTCCTCCGTTTAGAAAGAGCTGTGTAATTCAGAGGTCCTAAATTCCCACTTTCCCAGCATATAGCGGGCCCCCGGAGGCTGAGCTTTGCAGGCCGCTCCTAGAAAGAGCAGTCCGCCCGCTCCCTGACAAAGAGCACTCTTTCTGAGAGAAGTCAGTGCGGAAATGATGTCATTGGATTTCTCCTTTGGAAGCTCTTCCCGAAATAGCCTCTGTGCCCACAGATGGTCCTGACAGTGATCGCTAAGAGACCCCGTTCGCTGACCTAAGTATGAGGGGACCCCTTGAAAGGCGGTCGGGACTTGACTGCATCCTCATAACTTCTTACGCATCTCAATTTCAGTTCACGTGGAAACCAGAACAGTTAGAATGTCAACTGGTGGCCATTGTGTCTGCTACCAAGTGTCTCTGGGGGTGAGGATTTGTCACTGGTATCCCCAAATCTTGACGGACATAAAGATCTCCATGAACATTTGCTGAATGGAAGTAGATGACGTTGTTTCAGATGAGAGCTTCGGGAAACGTCTTGGCGCTCAGGAGGAAGTGAGGGTGTGTTCTAAGTTTCTGCCGATACGTTGGTGCTGCCCCATCTTACTCCATCACAGGGAGCTGCACCGTCACACCTGACCCCAAGGCACAGCGCTTCCCACACCCCAGCACCCACTCACGTGTACCGGCACGACCTGGGCATTAACAGAAACCTCACGTGTAATGTTCTAAGTTTTCAAAGTCTGTCTTGAACATCAGCTTCTTCGAACCATAACCTTTCTTCATGAATATTAAATTTACTAGGAACTCTGAGACCTCTAACTTCCTGAACTGCTGAGACATGCAAGCAGAATATTCCCCATCTGACATGAAGTCAACTTCCAGAAAGAGAACTGAGGTCATAGGGTGAGAATAGTCCACTGGGCAGTGCGGTTACTGTGTTGCTACCGCTGCTGCTTTTTAACTATGCGTATGAAACGGGATCCCTTCACCTGTCTCTCCATCTGGGGTTAGGATGTATCGCCAGTGAGCTCATTTGAAAACTCTTCTCTTAGAATGAAGGACAGACTCAAAAAAAAAAAAAAAAGGGACCAGCAGTTGGCATAATGGCTATGTCACTGGACTCCCACATAGGCGACCGTGGTTCGAGTCTCAGATCTGGTGGCTTAAACTCTCACACCAGGGTGTGTGCGTGCCCAAGATCCCAAAAGAAGAATGGAGGAGAAGGGATTGTGGTGTGGCCATCCCACCTGGGGGGTGATTTATTGCTTTCTGTCTGTCTCTCTCTGTCTTTCTGAAAAGCACACACGCCCTATAGCAAAAAACAAAAACGAACAAAGAAACAAAAAAACCTCTCCCCGCAAAAAAAAAAAAAAAACAAATGAAGGACAGACTCTGTTCTTCAAGGCAGCATTGAGCCGTGCTGATCCAAACACCAAGTAGAGGCTTAAAGAATCCTGAAAACTGAAGTTCCAGAGGTGCGGGGGCTCAGGGACGTGGCCCTAAATCACTGTCCAAAAAGTGAAATGCTCCCCGAGACGAGAATGCCATGGCAGAAGGGCTGAGATGCTTCCAGGTTATCCTGAACAGCCGCCGGAGTCTCTGGAAACTCGCCCTGCCGTACAGCCGCAGGGCGGTCAGCGGCCAGGCAGCAGGCTGTGCCGAGGTGTCACTGTGCGACAGCAACAGTCCTAGTCCGATACGAGCCTCTAGTGATCCTTACAAAAAGAAGGAAGAAGCTTTTTTTTTTTTTTTTTTGAGAGGTTTTTGCTATAGGGCGCATGCGCTCACCAGAGACAGAGAGGCAGAAAACAAGAAATCACCGCCACCCCCACCCCCAGGGGAGATGGCCACGCTGCAATCTCTTCTCCTCCATTCTCCTCTCGGGATCTTGGGCACGCACGCACATGTGCCTGGCGTGAGTCCACGGGGTCCGGGACTCGAACTGCTGTCGACTACGTGGGAGTCCAGCAACATAGCCATTACACCACCTGCTGGTCCCAGGAAGAAGCTTTTGATGGAGCGAGGCCAGAACAGCCTCCCATCCTTTCAGAGTAAACAGGCCTTCCCAGACCGTCTCCCCACTCACTCAGGTGGCAGAGCCTCTGAGATGCTGCCGACAAGGAGCCAGAGGATTTCGTGGGGTTCAGACATAGGGGAGAAGAGGAAGGAAAACAGAAACCCCTTTATTTATACCCCTGCCTTGCCAAGCCGACCTTTCAGCTTGTGGACCCAGACGTGCCAGCCTTCGCTCTCCTGCTCCGAGACAGGAGGCCGATATAAAAGGCCCTGAGAGTGGGAACCAGCAGTTAGCGTAATGGCTATGTCGCTGGACTCCCATGTAATCAACCGCGGTTCACGTCCCGGACCCGGTGGCTTAAACTCACGCCGGGCACGTGTGTGTTTGGCCCAAGATCTCAAGAGGAGAATGGAGGAGAAGGGATTGCGGTGTGGCCATCCCCCCGGGGGGTGATTTCTTGCTTTCTGTCTCTCTGTCTCTGTCTGTCTGGCGAGCACACGTGCCCTATAGTTGCAGACTGCGGGAGTGACCTGGGCTTGTCACTTGGCCTCTCTGGAGCTTCCTTTCCTGGCCTGCAGGACGAGAGGGGCAGTGTGCAGTCACCAGGCCATGCAATGGCAAAGTAAGCTGAGCCGGGGAAGGAGCCTGGTGTGGAACCCAGCATGGGGCGGCTGCCTCCGACCCTCAAGTAGTTCTCTTCCTCCGGCCTTCCCTCCTGAGGTAGGCCACTGCAGACACTCCTGGCTGGTCTCAAATGTCCCAAAGCCGTGACTTCCCTAGGTCCCCCAGGGTGAGCCCCAGTGAGCCCCATATGTGTGGGCTCAAACTCAGGCCAAGCCTGCTGCCTGCAGTAGGCCCAGCAGGGGTGAGAGGTCAGGCTGGAGCTAGGGGTCTCCCCGGCTCCAGGATCCGCTCACGCAGTCAGACGGACACTGCTCCGGGCACGATCCTCCGGATGTGGGTGTAGGACTTCCTGATGGTGACGCTGCCGTGGTGCGACACCCCGCGGGGCAGGACACACTCCTCAGTCAGCTTCTGGGCCTCGGGGTCCCAGCACAGCACTGTGGCGATGACCTCGTTCTTCTCGTCGCGCCCGCCAGTGATGTAGAGGCGGTTGTTGCAGGGCGCGATGCCGCAGCTGGCGCGCTCGTGGCTGAGCTGCGTCACCAGGCACCAGCTGTCCTCCCGGGGGCTGTAGGCGTACAGCGCGCGCATGGCTCCGCCTGTGGGGAACAGGGCACCGGGCCTGGACCGCGTGTCTGTTTCTTCCCGGTCAACCGCTAAAGTCCCACCTGCGCAAGGCCGGGCACCATCTTGCCAAGGGAAGCAGTACTTGCCGTCTCTCTGCCTAGGGGCAGCCGGGCAACTGGAAAGTCCTCCCCAGGGCCTTTGAAATTAGGCAGCAGGGTGCCAGCAGGCTGGGTAGTGGTTAAGGCCCTGGACTCCCACATGGCCGACTGTGGTTCCCGTACCAGACCCTGTGACTTGAAAATCAGCCAGCGGCAGGCGCATGTGCCCTGAGTCCCAGGAGGAGAATGGAGGAGAAGGGATTGCAGCATGGCCATCCCCCTGGGAAGCGATTTCTCACTTTCCCTCTATTTCTCTCTCCCCAGTGTACATGGCCCATGGCAGAAAACAAACAATAACCATAAATTAAAAATAATAATAATTTAAAAAGGTAGCTAACGGGACCAGCAATTAGGTTAATGGCTATGTCGCTGGACTCCCATATAGTCAACCGTGGTTTGAGTCTCAGACCCAGTGGCTTAAAACTCAAGCCGGGAGCATGTGCATGCGTGCCCAAGATCCCGAGAGGAGAACGGAGGAGAAGGGATTGTGGCGTGGCCATCCCCCCTGGGGGTGACTTCTCGCTATCTGTCTCTCTGTCTCTCTGTGTCTTTCTGGTGAGCGCACACGCCCTATAGCAAAAACCTCTCCAAAAAAGAAAAGGTAGCTAGGTGCCAAATCAGATTCTAAAGGACACCTGACTTAACAGGGCTGCAAAGCACACACTGAAACCATTCCTGGGAAGGAAGACCGTCTGGCCATCAGGTAGACTCTGCTCCTGGCCCCAGAGCTGCCACTGCTGGTGTGCGACCTCCAGCACCCAGGGTTATACCACAGCAGAAGGGTGTTCACAGAAAGCCCGGCCGATGGCTCTGGGAGGAGCCATCTATCCCGGGGTGGCTACAGGGGCCATCTCTCTGTGGACTGCCCTGGTCTGGGACAGCAGCCCAACTTGCCATCCTGAGACTAGACTCTGCTGCAGTCGCGCAGCCTACCTAAGTGAACCCAGTGGGGTCTGAAGCAAGGGGGGATTTTTCTCCCTGAGTCTGTTCCTGTGATTTCCCTGCAGGAAGCCTTCCCTGAGTAGTTGCCATTCGCTTGTTTTCTGGCATCTCCTTAATCAGTAGTTCTTGGTTCTGGCTGCACATTAAAATCGTCTGAACCTTCTGAAAAATGCAGCTGTTCTATGCCGGGCATCCTCCTCCTCATTCAGATTTAATTGGTCTGGGTGAGGCCCAGCTACCCACATTTCTGTGAAAGCTCCCTAATTAGCCATTCTAATGAGTAGTCAGGTGGAGAGTCACTGCCCCTTACAATTACAGGCCAACTGGTCTGGCCAGCCAGACTCCTCCCCAATTCCTGGGGCAACTTCTCTGAGGCCCCAAAGTAAGTGGAGAGAGTGTAAATCCCCAGGAACACAGAAGAAGAAATAACGAAGCCGCCGCCGTTGAGGGGCCCTGACCGCACTGATGTTTGTGCTCGTCAGCTAGTGCCGGCGGCCTGCCTCTAGTCCTGCCCCGTCCTCCCCCAGGCCACAGTGGCCATCTGCTCTGCCTCTCTCGGTCCACGGAGGCCCGGGCCAGCCCCAGCCTCTTCCTCTTCCACCCCACCTCACTGCACACTACACGAGTGGCCAGGAAAGCATCCTGCCGTCTACCCGCGTGTCCGCACGGCTAGACCACAGGACAAGACGCGGTCACTCACCGACGACGTAGATGCGGTCCCTGAAGCTCACCGCATTGATGCACTTGGCCTCCACTGGCATGGCCGCCTTCAAGCTCCACTTATTGGCTGCGGGGTCATAACACTGAGTCTTGTCCGTGGCCAGTTTCCCGTTGGGGCCTCCTCCAATCACATAGAGCTTCTTCTTATGGCTGGTGGCTGCGAAGGAGCTGACGTGGACAAGGAGGGGTGCGGCCTGCAGAGGCACAGGGCACAGGAGAAGCTGTCAGTCATGTGGCCCGAATTGCTGCGGTGGCTCACAGGACACAGGCCCGATATGACAGGACGCCGTCTTCTGCCTTTGGCCTGAAATCACACCGTGGGCTTGACTTCCCTTACGTTACAGAGAGAGTGAGAATGCGCATTTCCCACCCAGCCGCCAGCGTCCAGCAGGCCAGCGCACGCTGCTGGTCCAGCCCTTAGAGAAAAAGCAAAAGGTCAATACGTGTGTACCCAGGGGAAGCCAGCCGATGTTGGAGGAAAGGGATTTTCAATCCTGCGTATTCATTCAGATTCAAAAAGCATTTCCTGAGTGCCTACTGTGCGCTAGCATTGATTTTCTTTGGTGCTGACACCCAGGGAGAGGGGCTGGAACAGGAGTTTAAGGTGGCCGCCAGCGAGCAGACTGCCGGTGGGCAGCACTGCGGACTGAGATTACGCCAGACTGCCCTTCCACCCTGTGAGCCCCGGACACAACGAAGACCTAACGAGCCGCTCGCTCTTCACCCAGCCCTTTCGGAACACGGAGCAGGTCTGTGCTGGGGCTCGAGCTTGGCACCCTCCCCGTACATGTGAAGGGCTCCAGCACTTTCCAGATGGCAGGTGTGGGCTGAGTGCTGTGGGGCCCTGGCGAGCTCTGCTACAATTACTGCGTTTTACACTCGGCAAGGCCGGATGTGATCTGACGTGGAAGCAGGAAATCAGACTGGCGATGACCGGGGAGACCGGAGGTGAAGTCGCCGGCCTTTCCCCACATCCGATGTACCGACGTCCTGCATGTAGGCGTGTAAACACGCATCACAGACAGGACGTAAATAAGGGCTCACTTGTAAACAGGACCCAAAGACCCTGGCTTCGCAGTGTACTGAAGGGATCCCCGAGTGTCCGGGGTGCAGAGGGCAGGGCAGAGCATCTGAGCAGACGGTCTCAAGTGAGTGACCCTCCCTCCAATGCCAGGGAAGGACCTCGTCTCTGTGGCTTGATCAGCAGTGGTGACGGGAGGGCTCCCCGGAGGAGGAAGTCCTACAGACGGGAGCAGAGTGATCCTACCGCCAGCCACCACAGTAGACATGTGCATTTTCTAAAGCTCTGAAGTCATCGTAAGAGGTCACGGGGCCCCGTCCCGCACCTCCGCCCAGCAGTTGTGGAAGGGGTCGTAGGTCTCCACGCTGCTGATCCTCTGTAGGCCGTCGAAGCCTCCCAGCACGTAGACCTTGCCGCCCAGCACCACCATCTTGTGCCTCCAGCGGCCGATGTTTAAGTACTCGATCTGAATCCACTTGTTGATGGAAGAATTGTATTTCCAGACATCGTGCTGTGTTTCTTTGCCACCTACAAGAGATACGAAGCATTTAAGAAACCACTACAGGTGCAGGGAATGCAGCTCCTCCCGCAATGTCTTACGAGCTCAAAGGCCCACCCCAGGGAGGACAGAAGAAAGCCTGAGGTGTGTGGAGGTCGGGGGAGTAAAGGAATAAAGAGGCGGCCCCGGGCTGGGGTGAGCCGTACACCGGACTGTCCTGTGCTACCTTGGCGCCACGAGAGAGGAGGTGGCCAAGGGAGCGGGGTCCAGAGAAGGCTGCAGGAGTGGGCAGGCCGGCCTGGGCGGGTGGGGCCAGAGGGGCCTGGACTCAGTGTGTGCCCCAGGGCCGCAGGAACCAAGGCGAGGTGGGGACGGGAGGGCCTGAACTGGCAGGCAAACGAGGAAGGAGCTCCCGTTCTGTGTTTACTTATTTAAACACACACGCGGATGACAGCCGGGGTAAATGACCGAGGGCTTGGACAGCACTCTAGTTTCATATGGACGATCTGCGTAAAGAGAGAAGAGGGCCTATCCTACTGTTATTATGAAAGTACGAGATGCTCAAAATAGGTCATTCGGGGGTAATTTTTTAAACAATTCTCGCAATAAACAAAATACATCATTTCAGCAGTGAGAGAGATTAAGACAAAGGAAAACGGACTTTTGGGTGACTGTGTCAAATATCCGAATGGTTTTGTGTTCCCAACTCCCCATCAGCACCGGGCAGCACCTGCCCCCTCAACCCAAAGACATGCTTGGCAGATTCGTGTGTGCGCCTTGGGAGGGCGGGGAGGCGCCCCAGAGGGCGTTCTGTGTCACGGGGGTCCTCCTCTAGGAGGGGCCGCAATGGGCCTGCCAGGGCAAAGGCACATTGGCCTTGATTTTCACAGATGCCGCTAAAGGCCCCCAGGCCAGCCGCAGTGCGCTGTGGCAGCCCAGGGCTCTGCGAGGCTGGGACTCGGAGGCCCAGGCTCACTCCAGAGTCTCCCCGCACACCGGTGCGCACGTGCCCGCGATTCTGGCCCGCTGAGGCTGGGGTGTTGTGTGAGATCGTGTAGG